TCCTCTTTTTTTTTTTTTTTTTTTGAAGATTTGGTTATTTATGCATACAAGACCTGGGGTACAGGCCAGAGGTGTGGGGGGGTAAGAGGATTCACCAGAGACAGAGTGGGAAACAGAACAGCAGATTGACTGAAAAACACTTCTGAGGGGAGCAGCAGGCAAGTGAGGAGAGGTCAGCTGCATCATGTGGGTAGCTCCCTGGCCAGGGATCGAACTGTTGCTGCAGTGGCTGACAATAGCTTCATAGTGCTGCGTCTCCCTTGCGCCACCGGGAGGCCCAATAAAGTTCCTCTTTATCTGTATTCTCTCCAAAACTTCTTGTGGGGAGTCTTTTTAGTATATATATTCTCACACACAGGAGATAAGATGTCATTGTGGTTTTAACCTGCATTTCTTACTGGAAAGGATGAGCTTTTTTGTGTCTGTTGGCCTTCTGGATATCCTCTTTGTTCAGATCTGCTGTCCATTTTTAAAATTGACCTGTTTTTCTGTTGTCGAATTGTATAAGTTTTCATGTATCTTTTATATTAACCTCTTGTTGGCTATGGGATGTGTATATTCTCCCATTTTAAATACCTTTTTAATCTTATGTTTTCTTTCATTGTTTACAATCTTTTTAATTTGAGGTAATCCTAACTATTTTTACTTTTATTTCCCTTGCCATAGGGGTCACGTACCCAAAGACATCTTTGTCATTCATGTCATGGAACATATCACCAATGCTTTTTATATATTTTATTGTTGCAAGTCTTGTATCTAAGTCTTTAATCCATTTGGAATTTATTTTTGTGCTTGGGGTTAGAGAGTGACCTAACTTCATTTTATGTGTTCTTTCAGTACCATTTATTAAAGAGACTCCTTTGCCTATTATATGTTCATGGCTACTTTAATGAATTAAGTTTTGATGTGTACTTGTATTTATTTTTAAGCTTTCTGTTTATTCCATTGATCCATGTGCTATGCCAAGACTTTTCGTACAGTAGCTTTATAGTATAAAGTAATGTAATATGATGCCACCATTTATTTCTCTCCATTTTTTCCCTCAGGATTGCCCTTGCTATTCAAGGCTTCTATACAAATTTCAGTATTTTTTGGTTTGATTTCTATGAAGAATTTTGTTGGTATTTTGATGGGGATTGCTTTACATTTATATATCACTTTAGGTAAGGTGGTGGTTTTGATTGGGTTGATTTTCCTCATTCATAAGATGTCTTTCCATCTCCTTGTGTCACTTACTCCTCCAATAACATTTTATATTTCTTGTCCTTCACAAACTCTTTGGTGAGGTTAATTACAAGGTATTTGATTCTTTTTGAAGCAATTGTGAATGGAATTATTAATTTCTTTTATTTCTTGATCATTGTATTGAAAACTGGATTTTTGTGTGTTAATTTTGTTCATACCACTTTAGCATATTTATTTCTAATAAATATTGGTGGACTCTTTAGAGTTTTCTAAATACATATATAATACCATATCTATGACTAGTATAGTTTTACTTCATTGCTGACTTGAAGTCTCTTACTTCCTGTTGTGTTGTCTGATTGCACTAGGCAAAACCTCTAATATTAAATTGAACAGATTTAAAACGGTGGTGGTGACAGGGGTATCCTTGTCTTATTTTCAGTTTTTCATCATTATGTAATATGCCATTAGTTGGTTTGTAATATATGATTTTATTACATTGAGGTGGATTCCTTCTTATTCCCATCTGTTTAAAGTTTTTATTGTAAGTGAATATGGGATCTCATAAAATGCTTTCTCTGCATCTGTTGATGTAATCTCCCGGTATTTATCTTTATTTTTGTTGATATGATATAGTACATTGATTTGCGTATGTTAAAATATCCATGTATCCCTGGGATTTATCTCACTTAATCATGATGTTATAATCTTTGTGATATATTGTTGAATTCTTGTTAATATTTTGTTGAAGATCTTTGCGTCAGTGTTAATCAGGGATATTGGTCAGTTGCTTCTTTTGTGCTGTCTATATTTGTTTTTGGTATTAAGCTAATGCAGTCGTCATAAAATATATTAGGAAGCATTTCCCTGGAGAATTTTTGTGTTGCCATGCAAAGTTTCTTGATTACTTTATTGTGATATAAACAATATAAGAATTTTAAATGTACAGTGCAATATTGTTAATTATAGTTGTAACGTTGTACAGTAGATCTCTAAAACTTATTCATCTTGCTTAGCTGAAACTTCATACTGTTGGTTATCAAATCCACACATTTTCCTCTCCTCTCAGCTCTTTAATACTACAAGTTTGACTTTTATAGATACCTTATATAAGTTGAATAATGTATTGTTTGTCCTTCTGTGACTGGTTTATTTCACTTAGCATATGTCCTCCCAGTTCACCCATGTTGTTGCATATTGTGGAACTTCTTTTTTTTGAAGCTGAATGATATTCTGTTGTTTAAATATACCACTTTTTTTTTTTAAATCTTTTTTTTTTTTTTTTAATAGAGGCATGTTTTTTTATTTATTTATTTGTTTGTTTGTTTTTTGTTTATACATGCACTGGGTACAATCAGAAGCGCGGGAGGGTGAGAGAATTCACCAGAGCCAGAGCGGGGAGCAGAGCAGGCAGAAGGACCGAAGTACACTGCTGAGGGGAGCAGCGGGCTGCAGGAGAGGTCTGCGCGCCATGTGGGATCCTCCTCCGGTGGCCGGGGAGCAGCCGGGGATCGAACCGGCGCGTGCAGCTTCGCAACCCAGCACTCAACCGCTGCGCCACCGGGGAGGCCCACCACATTTTCTTTATTTATCCATCGATGCACATTTGGTTGTTTCTATGTCTTGGTGCTTGTGAATATAGTAGTGCCAAAATCTTTTGCAGGTTCTGATTTAAATTCTGTGGATAAATATTCAGAAGTAGGATTGGTGGTCACATGGTAGTCCTATTTTTTATCTTCATGATCTTTTTTTTTTTTTTTTTTTTTTTTTAATACATTGACAACATGTTACATTTCCAGCAACAAGAATTCCCCTTTCTCCACATCCATGCCAGCACTTTTGTCCTTTCATTTTTGGATAATTACCATCTTGATAGGTTTAAGATCTTGTTGTGATTTCTTTTTGAATTTCCTTGTTGACTAGTAACATGTCATGTACCTGTTGGCCATGTGTTTTTCTTCTTTAGAGAAATGTCTGTTTGTATCTTTAGGCTAGTTGTAAATCAGATTATTAGTTTTTTTGCTATTTAATTGTGGGGATTTATTGAATATTTTCGCAATTAACCCCTTAATAGATTGCATATATTTTCTCCCAGTTCATAAATTGCCTTTTCACTCTCTTGATGTTTTGTTTGCTTTGCAGAAACTTTTTAGTTTAATCCTTGTTGTGATAAGTTGACCATTTATATGTGGATTTATTTCTACAGCTCTGATTGGTCTTTATGCCGGTACCATATTGTTTTAATTGCTGTATCTTTGTATTTAGAAATTAAGACTTGTGATGTCTCCAGTTTTGTTTTTATCAAGATTTGGCTATTTGAATCATTGTGGTTATATATGAATTTTAGAATTATTTTATCTATTTCTGTAAAAAATACCACTGTGATTTTGATAGGAATTATAGTAAATTTTTAGATTGTTTTGAGTAGTATGAATATTTTAAGAATGTTAAGTCTTCCAATCAGTGAACTCAGGGTGTCTTTATATTTGTGTTTTCTTTCATTGTTTTAGTTGTTTTTTTGTAGTTGTCGGGGGTACTAGTCTTTCACCTCTGTAGTGCCTGATCCTATGTATTTCATAATTTTTGATGCTATTTTTAAATGGGATTGTTTTCCTAATTTCCTTTTCAGGTAGTTTTAGTGCACTTAACTTTCATATGTTGCTTTTATAACCTTAATTTTCTGAATTATTAAATTTCTTAATGGAATTTTTAGTGTTTTTTATATATAAGATCACATTGTTTGCAAACAGCAATGGTTTTACTACTTTCTGATTGGAATACCTTTTATTTCTTTTTCTTCCCTAATTGCTCTGTGAAAGCTTTTCAGTACTATATTGAATACAAGTAGTGAGAGTAGGGATCCTAGCCTATTCCTGGGTCTTTATTGTTGTTGATTCTTTTGGATTTTCTATATGGGTAATCATGCCTTCTATGAACAAAGGCAGTTACATTTCTTTCTTCCCAATACTGTACTTTTTATTTCTTTTTATTGCCTACTGCATTAGCTAGTCCTTCTGGTAAGATTTTGAAGAGGCATTGGGAGAAGGAATGTCCTTACTTCATTCCTGTACTTAGTTGGATAACTTCTAATTTCTTACCAGTGAGTATAATGTGATCTGTAGGTTTTTTGTACAGTAAATGTTCTTTGTCAGGTTGAGGAAGTTTCTCTCTGTTCCTAGTTTACTGAAGAGTTTTTGTCACAAATCAGTGTTGGGTTTCATCAGATCTGTTTTCTGCATCTGTTGGTATAATCATGGTTTTCCTTCTTTAGTCTGCTATTGTGATGGATTATATCAGTTGATTTTTGAATGTTAAAGCAACTTTTCATATCTGGAATAAATAGTTGTTGGTAGTAGTGTACAATCATTCTATACTTCTTTGGATTCAGTTAATTGCAAATATTTGTAACTATGTTCATGAGGGATAGTGGTCTTCTGGTTTCTCTCCTTGTAATGTCTTTGGCTGATTTTAGTGTTAGGGTGATTTGGACCCTACAGAAAGAGTTACAAAGTGAAAAACTGGTGTAACTTTTTCCCTTAAATGTTTGCTAGAATTCAGCAGTGAACCTATGTGGCTTGGGTCCTTCTCTTTTTTTCCTTTGTTAATTATTGATTCAATTTCTTTATAAATATTGGCATATTCAGAATGTATTTGGAGGTGGGTCCTCTTTTAGTTGATTTGCTTGGGCTTTTTAAAACTGATGATTTAATGTTAGTGTTTTATACTTGTATAGTTAAGATTCAGAGTACTCTTATCTTTAAATTTGCGTATGTATTTCTTATGAGATATTAATAAAATACAACTTTTTTTTCTAGCCCAGTGTATTAATTGTAACCTATAAGGAACCTGCAAAATCATCTTCTCAGTTTGGATCCTACAAGCAAGCTGAATGGCGGCCAGATAGTACCATGATAGCTGTGTCGGTAAGTACATTTTTCACCTTAATAGTATTTTATTATGAAACCATTGCATTGCATTTAAGTTTTATTTTATTAGGTGACTTATTTCACTTTCATAGCCATTAGTATTTACCTTCTGTGATGTGAATTATTGTGCCCATTTCTTCTGTTCATTTTACTCTTTTTTTGTTGACTCCACTACTTCCTCCCATTCCTAGATATTATGTCTTTATCCTTTTCTGTTTATTCTTCTCACTTTCCAGTTTTGTCCTTGAAGTCTATCTAGTATGGATTTTTAAAGCTTTCATGTACATTCATACAGTCCTCCCTCATTTTAAGTTCTACTGATGTTCTCACAAAATTGATTAACTTTGTGGTTGTCATAAAAAATTCTCATTTTTATTTGGATCTGTGTCTGCATTTCTCCTGTTTTGATGATGTGCTTATATTTGGTTAATTTTATCAATTTGTTTTGTCACGTCATCGTCACCTAGTTTGAATGAGCTGTACAATCACATATAAGCATTTAAAGCCTGTGGTTATTTTAAGTTTTTGTCAGAAGTAAATTTTTGTCTATCTGACTTGTCTAGGTGATGGTTAGCAGTACTAAAGGTTTATTGTGAAATTTTTGAGTGCCGAACTAAGACTGAAATATTCTGAACCTGAAGAACCACTTATCAGATACTGAACAACTTAGGAAAATAGTTTTTGCTGTGGACTTGGTAATGTTTCCTAATGAATTCATTCTAAAACTGCAAAATAAAACAGTGCTTATCTGTGAAATTTTTACGTGATAGTCATTTCAAAGACAACTACCATGAATCACAAATAATGACAGGCTGCTTTTTGTACTTCTGCTGTCAAAAGTTAAGACAAGAAGTAAGATTGCTATTTCCAACAAAATTAGTAGTAGAACTCAAACCACAGTTCCAGTAGTGTTTTCCAGACCTTGGGTAATTGCAAAGGAAATTTCCACATTTCAAAATCCATTTAATTGTGTGAGTGAGAATTGCTTCCGCTTAACTTTCAGTTGGAAATGATTAATCTCCGTTGTGATGACATGTTGAAAAGGCAAACAGCAGGACAAGAATCTGGTAGACTTTTATAATTACCTACCAAGTGATGAATATATTCAATTAAAATCATATGCACATGAATTGATATCAGAATTTGGCAGTACTTGTGAAAAGTCATTTTCAAAAATGAAATATGTAAAATCTCATTATGGAGGAGCATTTCATTAAGAATGAAAACTTTGGACTCACTTTTGATGATAGGGAACAGTAACTTTACACTTAAGCAAAATATCTCCATAAAAAAAATTATTTTCAATGGTGGACTTGCATTCCAAAGAAACATAATACTCAGTTTTCATTGCTCTTATATTTATAATAACTATAATTTATTCATAAATTTCTAAAGATTTCTATCCTCTCTGTATTGATCATTTCTTTTTATTCTTTCTGATGCTTTTTCATCTTGGAGCCTTGCTGACCCTGGAGAGACCAGCTCTCCCAGGGCTAGCCAGTTTCTAGAAATAGTGTAGAATTCACCTGCTACTTCCCCCTTTATATGCAAACCAACACCCCAACCACTGTCTTTATGAAAGTATTCTACCCACTATTCCCCTGCCCTAATTAACCCAGGCCCAGTTACCACATAACCAGATAACTGGAGAAAGCCCCTACATCCCAGTAAAGTCATTTGGTCTATTAGCTTTATTTTTAGACAAAATAATTTCACATTTGTTTGTGTGCTATAATAAATATTAAGAAAACAGAAGTTAGAAGAATTATTCTTGTCCTCAAGGTGGGGCAATAAAATTCATACATAAAGGAGAACAAAGCAATTTTTTAGTTACTGTAAATTCAGTTTTACTTAATCTAGTTATTGCTGCATATAGTCCTTTCTAGAACTTTGTGGTGATGTAATGATGAATTTAATTATAGTTATTGTAGTATATTTTAAATATACTTGTAAATACTGACCTGCTTCAAGTGATTTATGTTAATTGTTATGTTTATAATTTATGTTAATATGTTATGTTTATGTTAATTCCTGTTTGCATAATTTAAAACATGAATTAATAGTTTAGCTTATGTGAATTTTAATATAGGATCACAAATAGATTTTTTCAAATAGGCTTACTACACTAGTTCTATATTCACAGCAATATTGAGGGGGTTGGTCACAGATTTTGAAACCTCACTTCCCTTCCTCACATATTTATAGCCATTGTCAACATCCCCCACCTGAGTGGTACAGTTGTTATAATTCATGAACCAATAGTTACCTCCCAGAGTTTAGAATTCAAATTATGGGGCACCTTAATGTTATCCATTCTCTCGGTTTGGAAAAATTTGTGATGATTGGTATTCACCATAATAGTATATACAGGTGCTTTCACTGTCCCCCACCACCCTCTGTGCTCTGCCTAGTCATTCCTATCCCATAGCAACCACTCACTTTTTTTTGTTGTCTTCATAGTTTTTTTTTTTTTTTTTCCAAGATTTCTTTATTTTTGCATACAAGAACTGGGGTACAGGCTAGAGGTGTGGGGGGTGAGAAGATTCACCAGAGACAGAGTGGGGAACAGAACAGACAGATCGACTGAAATACACTGCTGCGGGGGGCAGCGCGTGAGTCAGGAGAGGTCTGCTGCGACATGTGGGCAGCTCCCCTGGCTGGGGATCGAACTGGTGCTGCAGTGGCTGCGGATAGCCTCAAAGACTATCCTAACCCCTTGCGCCACCAGGGAGGCCCTGTCTTCATAGTTTTGCCTTTTCCAGAATGTCTTACAAAAAGAATCCGTATGTAACCTTATTTTTCATACTATTTTCTTTCACTTAGTTATATGCATTTAAAGTTTTCTTGTCTTTGCAACACTTGATATGTTCGTTTAGGCATTGGAATAACCCATTGTCTGAGTTTTATCATTTTTGTCCATTCACCTACTGAAGGACATCTTTGTTGATTCCAGGTTTTAACAGTTATATATAAAGTGCTGTAAACATTTGTATGCAAATTTTTATGTGGACCTAAACTTATTAATTCCACTGGGTAAATGCCAAGGAGTACTTTTGATGTGCTATGTGGTAAGACTGGTTAATTTTGTTAGAAATTGCCAAAATATCTTCTCCAGTGGCTTTATCAGCTTGCATTCCACCAGCAATGAAAGAGTTCTTGTTGTTCCAAATCTTCTGCAGCACTTGAGTGTTAACCATTGTTTGGATTTTGGCCATTCTAACATATTAGGAAATCCAGTTTCCTAATATGACATGATGTGGAACATGTGGAATGTACCTACTTGCTATCCATATAACTTTGGTGAAGTATCTACAAAGGTCTTTGGCCTTTTATTTAATTGGACTGTTTTCTTATTGAATTTTAAGAGTTCTTTGTTTATTTTGGGTTAATCAGCTATGTCTTTTGCAAGTATTTTTTCCTAATCTGTGGCTTGTCTTTTCATTGTTTTGACAAATCTTTTTCAGAGCAAATGTTTTCTATTCTTAAATCCAGTTTATGAGTTCGTTCTCTCATGGATCTTGCCTTTGGTATTGTGCTCAAGAAGTTATTGCCAAACACAAGGTCATCTATGTTTTCTGTTTCGTTATCTTCTAGGAGTTCGATAATTTTGAGACTTGGATTTTTAAAAAATTTACAATGTTTAAGTTATAATGGTAATACAGTTTGATGACGAAAACCTGAGAAACAAAAAAAAAAAGAAAACATCGATAGTTTTCATAAACAGAGTCATTTTTATTTATGGTCTTATATTTTTTTCCAGGAACTTTTGCAGACATTCATACTTAAAAGCCCATAGCTTTTGAAAGTTTTTTAAAAAAGATTTTTATTTATGCATATAAGAACTGGGGTGCAGGCCAGAGATGTGGGGGGTGAGAGGATTCACCAGAGGAAGAGTGGGGAGCAGAATAGGCAGATCTACTGAAATACGCCACTGAGGGGAGCAGCGGGTGAGACAGGAAAGGACTGCTATGCCATGTGGGTTAGCTCCCTGGCTAGGGATCAGACTCATGCTATGGTGGCTGGTGACATCTTGATAGTGCTGAGACTTAACCCCTAGCACCTCAAGGGAAAATACCGATGTCTATTTGGCTTTATGAGTTTTAAAATTATTTATATATATTTTACACCATTGTTCATTTTTATACAGTGTTTCCTTTCTCCTCTCAGGTGTATTCCCCATAAAATTCCCACCACCAATTCACCTGTGCACCATCACTATAGTTCCTGGTGTTCTTCCCTCTCCTGTTTTGATCTCCCCTCTCCCCTTCCCTTGCAGAATCTCTCTGGTCTATTTGATTTTAAATCCAAAGTGATAAAAGTGAGCACTAATGTCACTTCTTAATGGGGAAACAGATTTTCTAAATCTGAGTTTTGTAAGTAGATCATGCACAACATTTTTTTCTTTATAGAAAACTATCGTACATATTTATAGTCTGCTTTTTTCAGATAATACATCCTGAAAATTATTACTTCATCATTGTTCTATAACTTGATTTTGGATGTCTACATAGGATTCTAACCTACATATGAGTAGATTTTCAAATTGATAAGTAGATAAAGGAGTTTTCATGTTCACACAAATTTATAATCTTTATACATTACTCTGCAGTTTCACTTTTTTCTACTTAATATATTATGACTATCCTTTTAGATTATCTAGATTATTAATTTTAGTATTTGTATTATATTCCATTGTATGGACATTTATTTGCTATTCAATAAAATTGTTTCCCTTCCCAGAGTCCCAAGTAATGTTAAGAGTCTCATTTTGCTTCATTTATGCCGGTATTGGGTTGATGAAAAATGGTTTGGTCATTTTAATTTCCACTTCTTTTATTGCTTTTGAGGTTTGGCATCTTTTAATGTTTATTAGCCATTTGCAGTTCTTCTGTAGATTGCTTGTGTTTGTCCGGTTTCCAAACCTAGAATATTAGTTCCATGTCAGTTTGGTTTTTCACTATAGCTTTTTTTGCACATCGTAATTACATACATAATAA